GATAGAGCAGCTTGGGTGCACTTCTAGAATGACCCACTGTTGTTGGTTGAGGCTCAAGCAGTCTTGGTGGCATAGCTTCGTCTATCAGCTACAACTGGTGCACCATCTGGACAGGGATAGCTTAACTTACGTTGTCTACACTCAGGTGACCTACATGGGGCTGCCTTCGAAGATTTTTTGGAAATTGCAGCAGGTCCAAAGTGAGTTTGAAGGGCTTAAAATAATTGTTTTGTTTTGTTTGAAACATTTCTACTGTGCCTTACAATATTTAAAACGTCTAAGGTATCTTACGAATGGAACCTAAAGCAACTATAGCTTTGTAGAAGACACGAGCCAAAGATTTCAGATCCAGTCACAGCTCCTCAGTCTAAAAGGATCAGGTTAGAGGTTTGTCTTATGCAAGTCTATGCATATCTACTCAGCAGCAGTCGCTGGAGCCCATTGGGGCTGGTGGGGCAGAAGTCAGGGAGACCAACCAGTAGGTGGAGACAAAGCCCATGACAGGTAGAGCCAATTCATTCTAGGCTAGCCCTAAGCCTCCCCACTGTTGGGTTTCTCCCCCCCCCCTTTCTTATCCTGCTCTTCCTTTCAAAGGAGGCCAGGGTAGTAAACAGCAAGTGACAAAACAATAAAAACATATTTAAATAATAATAATAAAAAAACAGTTTAAATGCAGATGCAGACTGAAAAAAGATTTCAACTTAAAAGGCTTGTTGTTGCTGGGTTCTACAAGGAGGTACACTGAGATTGAAGAGGAGGGAGATGTCAGGCTGTGCCACACTCCCTGAACTGGTTGGGAACTGAAGGATTTTACAGGAGAGGAACCCAAACTGAAATCAATGGAACACATAGGGAACCAAGTTCTGGATTGGTTGCAGTATTATTAGTTATATGACATTTTTAAATTAGATAGAAAGAATGGATTTCTGGATCAAAGCAGAAAGAATGGATTCCTGGACCAAAGTTCACAATTTGAAAAAGAGCTCTTACAAAATAAGGATAAACTTTTGTCTAAAATGTATAATTTTTTATTAGAATGGGAAACAATAGATGAGCTAGTTAGTTTCAGTGACATGGGCTATAGTTGTGTGTGAAGACCCCCAAAACCACCCCCAAATGAAGACACAATAGACACAGATTTTAGTTTAAGGTTTTTGGCATTAAATTTTGGCCACAACTTTATTGATTACAGCATGTGAGTGGTTGCTTAGGCATTGGTTCCAGACTACCTGAACCTGCACGGTGGCAGGAACAGGACTGACACTGGGCACCACTGTATGTCAGTAAAGGAAAGCATCTTGGGGGAACAAGAACTCCTGCAATCTCACAGCTCTCCCCAGATGCTCCCAGGGGCTCTGGTGTGGCCCTAGCCCCTTGACAGGGTTTGGACAAAAGCAAGGCGAGCCCCTGGATTCCTTTAACGGAATCCCCTAGCAGCAGCAATGGAGGGGCAGGCACAGCCAACCACGCCCCATCCCCAAAACATTGAACCAAATGCCTAACCGCCAAACTTACAAAGTTGTGATGATTTGCTACACGGTAGGCAAAAACCAAGTGGCATCAGCCAAATGGCAAAATTCCTACTGGGCCCCTGCTCCAAAACAGACAACCCCTAGACAGGCATAGTAAGGCCATAAGAACAACCCTAAATATAGGGAGAGGAGGGTGGGTGATCAGCTGCATGTCACAAGAAAGTGAAACTCTCCAGCAATGTGCAGCAGCTTAAGTAGCCCCTCAGCAGCCAATAGTCAACCCAACTGACCAAATTTCTGCCCCAGCAACAGAGGGGCAACCAATGGGGTGTTGCGGCCATCCAAACGGTCCCGCCCCACAACAGGGAGGCAGTTTCTGGTGATCGCACTGCAACACGTGCCCTCCATGATGGAGGACCCGACATATAGGACACAATATAGATCTTAACCTCTGGGTTAGACAGCATCTTAAAAAGTAGAGACATCACCTTGCCAACAAAGGTCCGTATAGTAAAAGCTATGGTTTTCCCAGTAGTGATGTATGGAAGTGAAAGCTGGACCATAAAGAAGGTTGATTGCCGAAGAATTGATGCTTTTGAATTATGGTGCTGGAGGAGACTCTTGAGAGTCCCATGGACTGCAAGAAGATCAAACGTATCCATTCTGAAGGAAATCAGCCCTGAGTGCTCACTGGAAGGACAGATCGTGAAGCTGAGGCTCCAATACTTTGGCCACCTCATGAGAAGAGAAGACTCCCTGGAAAAGACCCTGATGTTGGGAAAGATGGAGGGCACAAGGAGAAGGGGACGACAGAGGATGACATGGTTGGATGGTGTTCTTGAAGCTACCAGCATGAGTTTGATCAAACTGCAGGAGGCAGTGGAAGACAGGAGTGCCTGGCATGCTCTGGTCCATGGGGTCACGAAGAGTCGGACACGACTAAATGACTAAACAACAAAAACCTCTGAGAGAAACTTTGGAAAAGTGACCTTAAATCCACTGCATGTTATTCAGTGAAAATTTGAAAATGATTCATAGATGGTACCTAACTCCAAGTAGGTTGGCTAAACAGAATAAGATATGTGTTTGAAGTGTAAAGAAGCTGAGGGAATCTTTTTTCACATGTGGGTGGACATGTAAAAAGACAAAAGTATATTGGGAAATGATATATAATGAATTGGGGGGGGGAGTTTAAAACTACTTCCCCCCCCAAAAAAAAACACAGAGGTTTTTTTTTTTTTGTTAGACAGAAATTCCTAGGTGTCAGAAGAAGGTTATGTATGCAACAACTGCAGCCCGTGTTTTGTTAGCCCCAAAATGGGAAGTGATCAAGGTCCAAACTAAAGAGGATTGGCAACTTAATTTGATCGAATATGCAGAACTTGCAGATTTAACACATAAAATAAGAGAGCAAAAAGAACATAGGTTTAAAGAAGATTGGAAAACATTTATTGAATATATTGAAAATAACCATATACAGCTGAAAATGCTGGCAGCACTAAGATCAATTCAACAGGGTAAATAATTTCTGACGGGTGGAAAAGTGGAAAAATGATTTGAATGGTTATAGTAAAATATGCAGGAATGTATGATATGTAAAATAAACCATGGAAGTAGAAGGGAAGTCACTGTATATCTTAAAGTTTGTAAAATGTTTATTTTGAAATGTAAAAATGAAAACTTAACAGAAATTATTATTTTAAGAAATAGTTCTTATCACTGGATCCACCAGAATCTGTTTTTGTCTCTGAATTACATTTGCCATGTGATCATCATGGGAAAAGGTACCATATTGATTACACTTCTAAAGCTAATGATGATCAGCAAGGTAGGTAATTGCAATAGTTTTGTGTGTTCAGTGCTAATCTTTATAAAATGTCAAGGAAGACATTCTGCGCTGCAAACTGGTTGGCTGGCTAGCTAGCTAGCTAAGGAGAGGAGGAGAGTGTTGAATAATAAGGAAATACTATTCCAAAGGTTCTATGAAGCAACATTTAATAAAATTCAATTGGTCTGGGAGCCCAAACGGTTTTGGCTAAAACTTTGTGAAACCAGCCTATAGTAGAAGTCAACTGAAAGCAGAGAACAGTGAGTTCTCTGGAACAGCAGGAAGTTGATCTGAGAAAGGTCAATGCTTAGTTGAATCTTTATATACTTGGAGCAAGATGCCTTTCAAATCCCAACTATGCAAATGTGAAAGCAAGCTATTAAATTGAGGGTGAAGAGCCTCAGGGTGGGGATGAATTATACACTGTCTTTGTTCAGTTTCCTCAGTAAAGTGACACTAGACTTTCTTTTTTTCCTCTGGACTTTGTTTGTATTATGGGCAACCCCCAATTTGTGCAGGGGTTGCTTTTCTAGCTACCACATGCATTGACAGAGCATGCATAAGCCCCGCCTGCCATGTTCTGCCCCCGCCCCCATTCTTCCCTCTTCCGGGTGCAAACTACCCATGCATTAATTGTCACACACCAATTGAAGATGTGCAAAGTGGTCACTGCCTGACTTTAAGTGACTTTGCTAACATAGCTATCAGAAACGTGATGACTGGGAATCAATCATTTATTCTACAGTCACAGACTCATTAAAACAGAGCATACACAGATAATAAAACCATAAGCATTGAAACATACACTTCTTTAAAATACAATGCAATACTAAGGATAAAACACTCACAAATTCACAATACAAAAGCTGAAACATGAAATACAGGTTGCTAAATACATTCTCATTCTAATTGCAATTTGAATCATCTTAGGAGACCTTTGAGCAAAGAAGAGAAACTTGGCCACTAACTCTGTTGCTACTTTGTTTTTTTGTCAGCCAATAAATATTCCAGGTGCCATTCCACTGTCCTAGCAGGGTCTTTCTTCATAAGGGATGTTGGGCAAGAAGCAAAGTAATCTATTAGGTTCCTCTGCAGGAATATTACTTACAAATAAGACACGACTCAAACTTTTGACTACTTCTCCTCCCACAGGGACATAAAACAATCATCATATGGGATACTTTGATAACCCCCTTGCGGAAGGTAGACAGTTAAATCTGGCCCTAGAAAAGGCATGGTGATTTTTGGGGATAGTAAAATTATACAGATATGTAGCATATCCAGTAAATTTAAAAATTAAACCAGTATATGTTTGCAAGCATGTTCTGTGGACATTGGATATAAAATACTGGCAATCAATATCTTTGATTCGTTGTTCCAGAATAGATTTTACAGCGGTTGGGACTGGAGTTCTGAAGTCTGGATCTTGGTGGTTATGATATCAGTAGGCATGTTAGATCTACTGCATCTCACCTTTTCGTCTCCCCCTTCACTTTTCAGCTCCATGAGCTCCCATTCTGGATTGATCAGGACCCAGATTTCTCTCCTAAATTTCATTCTGCCACCATGGCTTTCTTTTGGCCTGTCTGCTCATCTTTCTCATATTGTTTACAGGCAACATGTCAATAATCCTTGCAAATTTCAGTCTTTGAAGACCTATTATGTTAACGTTTCTCCCCCCTACTCTTAATTCCTTGTAGCTTTCAAGACAGCAGATGAGTTGTGAAAGAGGTCAACTAAGGGTAAGTGTAACAATATGCAAATCCTTTTGGGCAGTTGGTGAATTGTTTCTTGTTATTGGAAAGGACCTCTGTTGAAGAAATGGTTCTGTATTGTGTGTGTATGTGTTTTTAACTCAAGGGTGTATTTAATACATGCAAGGTCCCATGCTTGGCACTGGTCAGAGGTAATCAAGTATGGTATTATAAAGCATAGACTTTGTTTTCAGTTTATGATTAAGAGGGAGTATACTATTTCGAGGGGGGGTATTGCGATAGACAGATTTTGTAATGCAACCTTAGAAAGGAGAACAAGAACTGATTTCTCATGTTGTGAGAAGGGTGAGCTTTGTACAGAATTGAAAATCTTCTAGTGAGAGTCAGGTTGTACTTCTGTTTGGATGACAGCAGGGTCACAAAAGTCTTATTTTATCATCTGCTAAAGCAAACATAAACTCTTCCCAATGTTTTTTGCAAAGGAACCCACTGAGTATCCACTTTACCACTAAATTATAGTTTCTCATCATCTCCTCTGCTGAGGGAGGTCTTGTTGATATCCATTTATTATTTATACATGCCGCAGTGAATATCCGGAATTTGGTTAATGTGACTTCCAGCCTTTACCTGGGGAGACAGGAGACAAGAAAATATTTATTTATTTATTTATTTATTTATTTATCCATTCATTCATTCATTCTATTATTTACTTATCACACACATTTACCACCAGGCTTTTAACTTTAAATCTGTGGCCTTCTTCAGCGTTTGGAATAATTTATTCCTACCTTTTAAACATGATAATTTTAGATATATTTTTTTCTGATTTGTTCTATGCTGGTTTTAATGCATGTGTTGTTTATTTATTGTTATAAATCACTTTGAGTTATTTTGTAATAATAATAAAAAGTGACTAATAAGATAACAGTATAATAATGTGGGCTGCTCTCATGGGGAAGGAAGAGCCCTCCTGAACCAGAAGCTGTTCTCCCCAACTCCCCTCCCATTTCTGAACTTCTCTTAATGTATGCTGTTATTTTTCTTACTTGCTCTCTTATAAATATATTTTGCTTCTTCTTTGCCCCCCCCCCATGTTTTTCTGGTGTTGCCACTGGTTGTACTGTGTGTGTGTGTGTGTGTGTGTGTTGTTGGGGTCATCTTACAATTGACTCTACCTTCTTGGTCAGCATCATTCTCCCATTTCAAGAGCAAGGCATATAAATGCAATGGCTGTATCCAATGCTAGCTGTACTCAGACCCATGAAAATTACTAGATATGCCTAACATGGGTTCATAAATTCGGGAGGTCTATTCTGAGTATAACTTGGTTGTATACATCCCCATGCTTTGAATAGGGAGGCAGGCAATCTCCCCCACTTGCTATTTCACTCATGTTTGCTAGCAACAATTCTTGGTGAAGGCTTCCTTTCGCAAATGTAATTCCACCTGTATTGTGCTCTGCCCGGCTGGACCGAGAGTCAGGTAATAAAAGGCAAAGATTTTCAGATGAAGACCAGCTAAAAAAGAGCCTTGTTGAGATTCCTCCTTTGAATAAGCCCTTCCCTTTCATCTATACCCTGAGCTCCCTTCTTCCTATTATACTCACCCCGACTGCAAGTGATGTTATTCCAAATCACCCTCTCCCCACTTCCATTTTATATCTTCTGCATCTAGTCCCAAGATGTGCTTTAAAAAAACATTTCTCGCTGGCATGTTTTATTTCCCCCCATCCTCTGAATCTCATCTTGCCTCCTTGTTTTATGGAGGGGTCTTGTGGCACTGAATTCAATGCCCTATGATGCAGCACCTAGAAAATGCTGGAGGAAACACACAACGTGTGTGTGTGTGTGTGTGTGTGTGTTGGCAGTGGTTGTTGTTGTGTGTTCTTCCTATTTCATTTCACATTGTGGCTGAGGATGGGGGGGGGTAGCCCAGACTTTGAAACATGAATCATACCCGCTTATTTAAGGCTGTGAAGCAGCTTAGGATCACAGCCTTAGGTAGAAATAAGCTGTAATTCATAAAGCTATAAAAAGCACAATGACAGCCCCAGAAGCCTGTCTTCAGCTTGTGTTTCGACTCCCTGAAAGGCTGAGACTTTTTAACCAAAAGCCTTGGCTTTGTCACAGCTGTAATGTTCTTGTTTAAACTGATGAAATAACTTTGCTTGGGTGTATGGATTTGGATTGTTGGTCTATCTAGACAAGTTCCATCTGCCTCAACTTGCACCAGCTCCCAGGATTTCAGGCTGAGGTATGGCCTCAGCCTATGTACTCATGAGATCCTGTAACTGTGATGTGGAGGGGAAGTGAATTCAGCCTGAGGGCACCATTTCCTTTTGGGCAACCTTCTGAGGCCTGTATGCTGGAGGGTGTGGTGGCAGAAGCAAAAGAGGGCAGAGCAAAAACTGTAACGTTGACTTTGGGGCAGGAAAAATAATTCCTACATATATTTACATACCCTTCTATATTCTGCACAAGAATGTTCTCTCGCCCTGTGATATCCAGCAAGTGGTATTCATAAGCCTTGCCTGCAGTCGTGGATGTTAAGTTGTGGGTGAACATATCAGACAACACGGCGATTCTTCATACAGCTCTTGTTTATTCACAGGCCAGGACAGAACTGAACTGAAGGGTTCAGTCAGCCTGCTTATATAGAGCTCCAGTACAACGTAACTGTAACAACTTTCTAAAACTATCCAATCACTGAACGTCACTTTTGATCCCTTATTTGCATAACTATCTACAGTATCCCCCTGCTGGCCCAGGGTGAGAACTTCAGTACATAACAGTGGAGGCAGAGCTTTGGCCATCATGGCTTGTAGCCATCGAAGGACTTCTCCATAAATTTGACTAATCCTTTTTTAAAGCCATCCAAGTTGGTGGCCATCACTGCCCCTTGTGGAAGTGAGTTCCGTAGATAAACTATGTGCTGCGTAAATAAGTACTTTCTTTTGTGTGTCTTCCAACATTCATGGTTTGATCCAGCGGGGTTCTTAGGAGAGCTGAGATTAGCTGAGGCATTCTGTGGGGTGTGCAGTCACTCACTGCCCTTGTGAGTTGGAAGTGTGTGAAACCATCCCTATCTGCACTCCACACCTTTAGGTGTACATGTTTAACTGTAATGTGTGATGGCCTCCGAAAATTCCCATTCTTGAATATTTTCATTTGTTCCAGGATTCCAGTCCTCCCCCCCCCAAAAGAAATCAGCATCTCATCCCAGTAATTTTTTAATTGGCTGGTGTTAGGGTCAGTTTATCATTTGTTTTCATCTATGGATGCTGAGTATTCATCAAACTACCACAGAGGATTTTTTGTTCAAAACAAAAATCCCTCTTTGTTAGGAGACCAAAGTTGATAAAATCCTCTTCTTCCTCAGCATCTGTTTATGACTTTCCTTTCTTTTTATAGAAATAGTAGTAGCAATGGTAATACAGTGGTACCTCGGGTTAAGTACTTAATTCGTTCTGGAGGTCTGTTCTTAACCTGAAACTGCTCTTAACCTGAAGCACCACTTTAGCTAATGGGGCCTCCTGCTGCTGCCACGCTGCCAGAGCACAATTTCTGTTCTCATCCTGAAGCAAAGTTCTTAACCTAAAGCACTATTTCTGGGTTAGCGGAGTCTGTAGCCTGAAGCGTCTGTAAGCTGAAGCGTATGTAACCCGAGGTACCACTGTAATAACAATAGTCATAGTAGTAACAACAACAACAACATATCCATATGGCTTTCCCTACTTTTGCAGCAGTAATAGGAAGCAGTAATGTTAATAATAAATTGCACATTTCTATAAGTCTTTCTCTTTTTTGTAGTAGTAGCACTACAAATGATAATACTAATTAATAATAGTAAACATGTGGCTTTTGTGGTAGTAAGGTTTAATAAATACTACCAGTGAGGATGATGATGTATCTATATGAGGCCCCCCCCCCAATTTGTTGCTTTATCTCCCTCCTTTCCAAGTATCTGCTGGCATAGCAATTGCATCTGTAGAACCCCAAGAAACACTGGAGGTTTCCCACAGCTCTTATTTTTCTACATCCTCGAGTTTCCATCACTGGCTCCTTCCAGTAAATAATGAATGGCACATTACCAGCACAGGGTACTGTGATCAAAACTGGGCCATCAGAGTTGATGTAAAGTGCAGATCACGGTGTTTGTATTTCTGTGCTTAGATATTGAAAGGGCACATACAAAACACTGCACAACATGAAGAGGAACGGAGGAAAATCTTGACATCTCCAGATAAGTATTCATCTGCTGCTCTGCAGCTGCAGACCAAAAGCTGTAAGATTGTCACAAGTGTAAGATTAAGATGTGGCAAAACAGGGGTGCAAAATTAGTTACATTCTCTGTACCCCACCCAAATGGCAGGCTTTTTCCAGTTCCAGTTTTGGAAAAGAGAAGGAACATTGACGTCCCAGAGATGGATGACAGTAATAATAATAGGTGATATAATAATACAGTGGTACCTCCGTTTAAGTACTTAATTCGTTCTGGAGGTCTGTTCTTAACCTGAAACTGTTCTTAACCTGAAGCACCACTTTAGCTAATGGGGCCTCCCGCTGCCACTGCGCCACCAGAGCACGATTTCTGTTCTCATCCTGAAGCAAAGTTCTTAACCCGAGGTAATATTTCTGGGTTAGCAGAGTCTGTAACCTGAAGCGTCTGTAACCTGAAGCGTATGTAACCCAAGATACCACTGTAATAATAATAATAATAATAATAATAATAATAATAATGCTCTGGGGAGATCTGTGTCTGTATACATTTTGGCAGAATGTCCTAAACCCTGTATTAAAGGCAGGAGTCAAAGTACATTTAGGGAACTGCAGAGAACCATGATGGAAGTGCAGCCATGTTCCCTGGCTTAAAACTGCACGATTAGCACATTCTCATCGGCTCTCTAAAACAGATGATTAAAGCACATAGATCTCAGTCTCTCGACCCTCTCTCTACGTCAAGATAGGTTTGCAGCTATATTTAAAGCAGGGAAGCTTTACTCAGCAGTATCTTGACTCTGTTATGCT